GATGGGTGGTATCTAAATTTGAAATATAAATAAGTACATAAACAAACAAACAAACAATTAGCTCTGGGAATTCACAATTTTCAAATAGTGGTTAAAGGATCAATTTGTATTAGGACGGTATTCATCTTCTCCACCACTTACTATATATTCCAATATGCATATGAATTAAGCCAGTTAGTAAGGTTAACCATGTCAATCACATTTATTGCTACATCCTATTGAATGATTCTCTGTAGTTTCCTTATTTAGGATAATTAGCAGAAGTCTATAAAAAGGGCTTGTAACCCCACCTTCTTTCTCTTTTGCTTCCATGTCATTATGTCCTGCTCTCCAATTTAAACATACCCTTTAAAAATTCTCCTTAAAAGTGGTGTTAGCAGTGGGATACCAGAAGCACAGAAACTAGATTCTGCCTTTGTGACAGGTGCCAGACATTTGTTCACATTAAAGTACTGGTTGTAAGACATTCTTCCTTCTCCATGTATCTGTGAGGATACTATAGGATGCCACCCTGAAGGCTCATATTTGTAGCATTTGATGAGTGGAACTCTAGGTAGTTCTCCCTTTTGAGTACACAGATGGGTCAGGTAGATGCCTTCAAGGATTGCAGAGTGGCAAGGTGTGAGGAGTGATGACTTGGACATCCATGTTGATGCCTTGGTGATGTCTCGGACATCCCTGGGTGAGTGAGTGATGCCTCAGAGTGAATAGCTATTTCACCACCCTTGAATAGACGAGGACAAGTGACACATCTGAGCAAGACATTGTCTTGTTGTGGCAGAGCAAGACAGGGGTCCTGTTGCTTGTGTCTTCCCTTAGTGTTTATATGTGCATCCACATAGTCAGATCCTTGTGGTTCATCATGTTTACATTTTTATGGCCCAGCAATGCACAGTGCTCACATCAGTGCAGTCTTCATCATAAACAACTTGCATTTGGTGATGATTTTCAATAGAGGGACTCGTTTGGCAGTCAAAAATTCAATCACGGTGCATTGCTTAGTGCATTGACAAGTACTCACTACAGGCTTCCATTTCACAAACAATAGCAACACAACCTTTTCTCACAGAAACTTCCCATTGACTAAAGTGAAAGAACAAATGCTAGAGAGCACATCAGAGCTTCTAGTACATGAGCACTACCATCTGTTGGTGACTTATAACAATGGAGCATTATTTTTCATTCACCCATCCACTCTTGCAAATAAAGTTTGCAAGACTTTATTGCCATGTTGTAAAACTTTCTGATCATAGCCAGTAATTGAGTGAATAATTAGCCAGAGAGCACTTAAGACTTAAAGGAATACAAAGAGTCCATACATTGCCTTGTAACATCTGTTAGAATGAGAAAAGGCAAATACAATGCCATGCAAGTTAGCTATCCAGGATTTGAGCACTAGAGGATTTCATGAGCCAGTTCACATATCAAACCTAGAAGTGCAATACAAGGAGCAAGAGCTACAGAAATGCATGTCAAGAGTTGGATAATTGTTTCAGAAAGACAACTGCTTGGAGGCTGTTCTTATATAACTCCAAACATTGGCATGGCCTGATTAAGGATTTGGGTGCCTTTCCTCTCAAGGAGCCATGTTGATCTCATTTGCTCAGCTCTTCATAATAGCCAGCATGTTCTGGCTATCTCACTTAGATCCTACCTGCTCGAGCTCACTCTTTCCTGGAGTTGTATCCAGTGCCTGATTGCCTACTGGTTCTTCAGGCTAATGATCTCTGGTCTGCTTCTTCAGCCGTTGATTCAGAGGATGAAAACAAGACAAAGCCCTCCAGTATTTTGCATACAGCCACAAAAGGTTGGGTTCCACAAAAGGTAACAAGAGCTCTCTAACCAATATTTTTCATCTCCACCACCAAGGCCAGTTCCAAGTGTGATCTTCCCATTTCATCTTGTCTCCAATCCTGCCACAGTATTCTGAATGCCTCTTTCCTCCCTTTCTGGACTCTTGACAGAATGATGTCTGGTAATCTCCAGGCCCACTTCCACTGTATCTCCACCAGTTGCTCTTTCTCACAGGGCTCCAAATGGTAATGTCTTCAGATATACCCCTCTGTGGCCACAGCTAATGTAAGTCACCAGGTGACTCAGTCCTTTACAGCCTACTCACAGTCACTCAATACAGCATGATATTAGGGATAACTTTTGCTCTCTGCAATCCTCCATAGCACAGCCAGTATGTCCTATTCCTCCACCTTCCAGTTCAGCTTCCCTCTTTCATTCCAACCAGCCCTCTTGACCCGAATACCTCAGTTTTCATCACAATCAACAACAATCCATATTCTCCAAATAATAAGAAAATTCTGAATGCATTCAGTGAATACATACTTCCAAATGCATACCCCATTATGTCATGAATCATAATAAAATGGGTGGTATAATTTGATAAATAAATAAATACATAATAAACAAAGCTCAGAGAGCACCAAGGACTCCACAGTTCAACCCTAAGCTACATATATTCTCTTTGATTGAAATAAATAATAAAGGTATACATAAATACATAGGCAAAGTACCTTTTCTATCTGTAGTAGATAGAAATCAATGAAATCCTGTGGCTCACACAGGGAGTGATATTGTTTGTGCCTCTCAATTTCCTGCCTTGCAAATGAAAGAATAAACTCTGCAGAGTCTGACCAGTGAGGTCCTTCTGGTGAGGCCCTGGAAGATATTTCATCAACCATGGGACTGCCTCGTACATCTAAAAGCAAAAAAAAAAAGAAAAGCAAAATTACATCACTTTCTAAAGAAGCCTGGTAACATAGTGGCAAAGGGCACGTGACGTGATTATCATAATTTGATTACACTGAAGTTATTTCCTTGTTTGCTTGGTCTTTTGCCCCTCTTCAGTCCCAAGACTTTAAGCAGCTGAGAATTCCAAATGGTAGTAGCTAGAGTTAGGTAGTAATTAAATTTGCATACCCTTTCCATCCTCAAAGGCCCTACAGAATAGCCCAGTCCTAATATGATATTTTCCCCTTCAAAATATGAACAACAGTGCCATCCTCCAGGGGTAGGCTTTTCCAGAAGAGGGTATCCAACATGAAAAAGGTTTTCTTTGGGTCTCCTCTCACTGACACTCCCTTGACATTGAGATCCATAATATGGCCTCCCTATAACCTTCCAGTGTATGGGAAGATTCTACTCAAAGCAGGTGATCTCAAAGATAACAAGGTCCCCTGGTTCCTAAGGGTAGCTATGTTTCATAATTCATATGAATAGCAGTTTGATCCTTCTTTATAAATAGAACCTATGATTTACAAAGCAAGATTATGCTGTTGCTCTAATTATTAATCATATTTAATGGTGTATCATTCAGGGTGAGTTTACATAACACACTAAGCCACCAAAAAAAAAGGGGGGGGGAAGTCAAACTCCACGTATCTCAAACTTACCATGCAGTTGCTAGATCCTAAACTCACCCTGTTAAGCATTGCATGAATAATCCAATCTATACGATTTCCAGTAGAGTTCTTCGGAACCCCTCTGAACAAGGAGAGGGTGGAAAATTGCCCACATATGCTCCAGGTAGCTGCTGCTTGTGAGAGGGCTGCAGGACAGCAGTCCCCCATAGGTTTGAGTGTTGGGAGACAAAGGGCTCAATCATCGAGTTCACAGCTGTGGCAGAGCCTTTTAAAGGACACTAAGTTCTCTAACCTCACTTGTAATCACTATCGGAAATTGCCTGTTTAACTATCTTAAGGCTGTTAGAGATCTTCGGAATGTTTCTGAACAAAAGAAAAATTATAAATTTAAGAACTTAAAGAATTTGAAATACATGGCAAAAAGCTAAATAAGATTGTGAACCAAAAAGGTTATAAACGAATTAAGGGTCCAGACAAATTTGGAAATTTGGAAACTTTTACTATAAGGTTTTGGAATTAACTATATAAAATAAACAGCTTTTCGTGGGAACTATAATTATTTTGTCTACTGTAAGTCATAACAGAAATTAGAGTCCTTATGATTTAAATTGGTACTAGAAGGGACTAAAGTTTTCAGGCAAAAAGAAAAAACAAAACCAAACCCTGCTTTTGGTTTTGATTGGGACTGGGATTTATAAAATGACACAAAATGCTATAACATTTGAAATATTGAAGGAGATCTTCAAAGAATGAGGCCAGAAATTAGTAGCCACAATATCACCAATATCAATAACAATGTCTGCTTCTATAGACAGACTATGTTTAAAGGATGTTAATGAAGGAATGACAGATATGAAACAAATCTTGCTTGATGCAGAAATAGTGGAATCAGAAATACTGGATTAAAAAAAAAATGTGGATTACAAGATAGAGAAGGTATTTAAGGTGGAAATACAAGTGGCAGGGCAAGAGAATGACCTGGATAAGGACTCTTTACTGGATATATGAAAGAAGCTTGCTGAAGTTTTAAAAATTAAAGGGGAAATGCAAATGATAAACCGAGAGAATGACCTGGATAATGTCTTTTTATTTAATTTGTAAAAGAGGCTTGTAAAGTCTTGAAGAAGCCTATGCAATGGGACAAAGAAGAATTGAAGAGAATTCAAATCCTACAACAATATTTGAAAGAACTAAAGATTAAGATTTTCAGAGGTAAAAGAAAGGAACATAAGTTTGGTTGATTTGATCAAGGTTAAAATAAGACAAGTTTTTATGAAATTCTGGCAACATAAATATATATAAAGAATCCAAACTATAGATAAATTTGGTCACCTCTTGTTTGTCTATAAGTGCCATGTATCTGCATCCAATGGACTGTGATACAGGAAGGCAAACTAATAATTTTTTAAAAATTTAATATTCACCAGTACTTTTACTGGGATAGACTAATATGCTTATCTCTTTGGAAACTGACTCATCCTATTGGGTGTAATCTATTTACCTTTTTTTTTGCTGGAGAAGTGTTAATTATGATTGTGTTGGAGATTTGTGTTTTAGTTTGTTGTGTTGGTTCTTCAGCTCTGTGAACTTTGTTTATGAGTCACTAGAAAATTATTATGAACAGTTAAAGCAGTATTTGTGATAAAGATAAGAATTTTCTCCTCCGCAAAAGAGTTAGCATATAGAGGTATAGATATAGATATATGTGTGTTTGTGCATGTGCACGTGTGTGTGTATATATATATTACACAAGCACACACATACCACACACACCATACACATACATATCGAGGACAGCCAATAAAATAAACCAATGGATCATCGAACAAACCAACCCAGAGTTCTCACTTGAGGCACAAATGACCAGGCTCAAATTACCCTACTTTGGACACATTATGCAAAGACTCAGCTCTCTGGAAAAGGTTGTAATGCTGGGAAAGGTGGAAGGAAAGAAAAGAGGACAACCAACAGCAAGATGGATGGACTCTTCCAATGTGTGTTCATTGCCAGACCTGAAAGTCCAGGTTAGGGACAGATTGTCATGCAGAAAATTTATCTATGTGGTTGCTAAGAGTTGACACGAACTTAATGGCACAAAATAGATGATAGATAGATGATTGATAGATAGATAGATAGATAGATAGATAGATAGATAGATAGAGATAGACAGATGATAAATAGATAAGAAAGCCCATTATCTGAAAATTGGGGAAGCATATCCATATCTCACTAGATTCTTGACATACCAAAATGAAAGGACGTCAAGAAAGGATGTCAAGAGTCCAGAGGAATGATGATACTGACTAGAGAAATAAATACTTAATGGCACCTTGTAAATCTGTGTTGCACCAGCCAATTTAGCGCAGCAATCAGCAGATTATAAAAGATCTGAAAGAAAAATTCCTAGTGGAGCCTCTCTGTCCAAGCAAAGGACCATCTGTGTTGCCAGACTAGGTCCTTTTCTGCAACCATGTCCAGTTGCATAAGATGAGTATGGTTTTAACATTGGAGGAAGAAACATCAATTACCTGCACTATGCTGATGACACTACTATAGCCAAAAATGCAAAGGATCTACAAACTCTAGTAATACAAGTCAATGAGCTCAGTGAAAAAACTGGGACTAAAATTAAATATAAAGAAGACCAAATTAATGACAACAGGTACAACAACCAGCCTCAGAATTGCCAGTGAAAATATTGAAGTGATAGATAGTTTCTGTCTCTTAGGATCAACCATCAACAGTACAGGAGTAAGCAGTCAAGAAACATGCTGCAGACAAGCACTTGGTAGAGCAGCCATTGAAGGCCTTGGAAAAGATATTCAGGTGCCATGATATGTCTCTATCTATAAGATCAGCATAGTGCAAGCCATGGTATTCCCTGTGATACTCTATGGAAGCAAAAGTTGGACTTTGAAGAAGCAGTAAAGGAAGAATATTGATGCTTTTGAACTCTGGTGTTGGAGATGATTCCTGAGAATACTGTGCTTATTTTGTGAACCCCAGCATTGAGTTAATTTATCTCCAAGCATTATGTACATTCAGAATAAGGGTTATTTATTTATTTAATAGATTTGTATAGCCAGCCTATTCAACACATGACTCAGGATGGGCGTTACAACAGTAATAACCAATTAACGCCACTTAATAAAACAGAATTTTAAAAAACAAAATCCAAAACAGCAACATGTGAATTCATAATGCTGGGAAAAAACTCATCCAGTGGCTCATATTATTTCTAGACCCAATGCCTGGGGGGAAAAACAGATATTTAATGCCTTCCAAAGGGTAGGCAGGGTCACAACCAATTGAATCTCAGGGGAGATGCTCTTTCAAAGAGTAGAAATAGCAACAGAAAAGGCACACTTCCAGGGCCCCAGTAGATGACATCACCTGAGTGATGGAACTCACAACATGTTGACCCTGTTAGATCTTACACAATGGGCAGATGTAATTGGAGGTAGACAGTCCTGCAAGTAACCTGCATCATGAGGGGCTTTAAAGGTAAGAACCAGCTTGTTGAAAGTCACCAAGAGATCAAAGAGGCCCAGCATGGATGCACCATCTCCATCCCAGTCCCACTACAGGTCATCAGTAAGCATGAAGAGGCCATCTCAATGCTGTGTCAGGGTCTGAAACCTGACTGAAAGGGATCCAAATAACATGTTTCATCTCCAACTCTTTAGAGCTGCACCACATCCACCTATTCAACAAATTTCCCTAAGAAAGGAAGGTTGGAGACAGGCTGGAAATTATCAGGAGAGTCAGATTTAGCAACTGCTTCTTGAAGAGGGAATGGATCACTGCTTCCTTAAGCACAGGTGGGACCACTCACTTTCTTAAAGGGTTAATATAGTGACAAGTATTTCTATGATGTAGTCAAAGGCTTTCAAAATGTTGATGGGCCGATCTGGTTGCTTCAGTATAAAAGATAACTTACCAGATGAAAAAAACTACCTGATATTCTTACAATGTTCTCAATGTCTTGCACCAACTTCTGAAAGTTTTTATCTTCAAGAGCAAACTGGTGCCCAAAACTCAAAGCACATATCACATTAGCCACTGAATTGTTAAATGGAAATGAAGGATCAAATGGCTGCCCTGAGGATGAAAATATATTAATAATAATTCAGCTTTCCATGTTAATACTGAGAACTTCTAATGGGATCTCATGGCAATTTATTTTTTATAGAAAATCACATAAAATACATTCATTTTCACTCCAAATAAAGACCACAAATGCCTACCTGCAAAGCAACATGTCACACAAGCACCTAAGATATTAAGACTAAATCCACCTAGTTGTCTATTATACACCCCTCCCATCCTGGAGCTGGCAAGAAATTGTGTCATCCTAAATCTTGCTGCCCACACTTATTACACATCTGGAATAGATCTGGGCTATGCTACTGTCCATCAGCTTTCACAGTCAATGTTCCAAGGCCTATGTATTTTTGCTGTATTCCATCAGCTAAAATTCCAGATCCACCCAATATCCTACAGGACACGAAGGACCTCTTCCAATTGTCATGCATAACACTCTGTTTACTCCATAACCACATTTTTTTATAGTACCATTGACCAATTGGACTTCGTTTTTTATTCCTTAAAATGATGGTCAAGGAATATGTTTGGCTTATTGACCACAGGGTGGCAGGAAAAAGTTATGGATTTTAATTTATTTATTTACTTAAACTTTAGATTTATAAAGGCTGCTCCATTCAGCATGACTCTGGCCAGTGTACAATTAAAACAAATACAATACCTAAAAACTAGAAAGAAGTAAAATGACATAGAACTGCAATATAATGGGAGGAACAATGTACCATAGCCAGGACAATCTATACATCAGATGGACACAACACCAGAGAATATCTACTGTAAAATATGTCATCTGGCTAAGACCCCAAATCATGTAAAGTTGTCATTAATTGTCATAAAAGCAGAATATGATAAAATGCTACTTACTGTTGAGGTGACACTTACCTATATTTATATAGTCCAAGTAAGTGAATTTATCTTTGATATTACAGAGGGAACAGAAGAGTACAGTTAAAGTCTAGTGGGTGCTATGGATTTAGTAGATGTGCCCATAAGTCAGATATCAACTGAGATTGACTTTTCATAGCAATGGTGCAATATTTAGCTATGGAGTAGGTAACCTTGGTCAGGCAGCCTGAGAGAAGAAGAGAAGTGTATACTTCATCTTGTCAACCTGGTAAATCCTTTAGATAACAGAGGATTAGAGTAGTTTAAAAGTCCCTATGAAAGTTAGTGTGTAATAAAACATGACCCACATCCTCAAGATGTGAAATGAGCTGCAGGAGCAGAAAGTTAAAGGATCTTTGTCTACCTTCTGTAACAACTGAAGGGAGGACCTCTAGGCTAGTCAGAGAAGAACCTCTGCAATGGGTAGAGTTTGTCAAAAACTGCCAGCAGTTGGCAGAGCAGGACCTGTAGGAGAGCTACCATAATCTGAAGCCATCTTGGCCAAAATTGATTGCATGTTTCCATTTTGTGTCAAGGATTTTTTGTTTTATGATCTTACTTGCTTGATTTTAGCCCAGTGATTGCAGGGTGTACCATGAGAAGCCATATAGGACAATTTATCCCTAGAATTTGATTTTCACTATGAGTGAAAGCTGCCTCTCATTGGGGAGACCAGCTCAATTGGACTAAACATTAATTTCAGCCAATATCTTCACTCCTGCGACACTCAATTCTAATCTTATGGCAACATTGGAGACACATTTAGGAACCCACAGAATCAATTTTAAAAATCAAAATTTCGCCTGCTCCACTGGAGCAAAATTGGTGTAGGGGCCCAATTGTACACCATAAAGTAGTGGGATGAATTTTCTACCCCAAGAAATGAAAAAGGAATGACTACTGTTTCCTTTTTTCCTTAGATATGTAATCTAGATGAACTTCTCATCTTGAAGATTCATGAAATCTTATACTTAAATAATTAAAAATCTTGCCTTGATCTATTTTGTTGATGTTAATGGACCTATTATATTCTTTGGCTTTTCTACAAAAGCATTACTTTTATTTTCTGGTAATCTATTAATAGTTCATGGTCTTCACAGTAGCTCTGAGCCCTATGATCAAGCATGAAAGGACGATCATATCATCAGCATAGAAGAAGATTAGGATATGCCTCTTGGCCAATTTGATTATTATGATTATGTACCATAAAGTTGTTTTTGACTCCTAGTGACCACAGAGATAGATTTTCTCCATGATGATCTGTCCCTAACCTGCTCTTTCAAGTCTTCCAATGGTGCACTTATTGCCATTGTGAGTCCAACCACCTTGCTCCTGGCTGTCCTCTTCTTCTCTTTCCTCCCACCTTTCCCAGCATTAGAGCTTTCTTTAGGGACCTACAAAGTAGGATAATTTGAGCCTGGTCATTTGTGCCTTGAGTGAGAACTTTGGGTTGATTTG